AAAAAAAAAAAAAAAAAAAAAAAAAAAAAAAAAAGAATTGAGGTGTATAGACACCCCGATACCAGCCCTAACCCACCCTACGAGGAACAACCCCAACACCCCCCACCGCCGACGGTGTGCATCGCGCAGAGTAAACAAAATAAATAAACAGAAAAATAAATAAATAAAAAAATAAAAATAAATTAAATATTTAAATATATATCTTTATTTTATTGTATTTGCGTATATTTCAGCCCCTTTCTGCTTCTCTTTCTCTTTTTCTAGCCCCCCCCAGTGCATGCAGCAGCAGCATTTGTTATATATATAATGGGGTGTACATACACCGCAGCAGAGAGGCTCAATATAAGGCAAACACAACACTGCATGCAACGCGAGTTTGGGGCTTTTGTTTTGCGCTTTATAAAAAAAAATTTATGTTCTTTTGGGGTGTATAGGCAGCTCGCTAGTAGCAGAAAGAGGAGCTATCACTGCATCAATAAAAACATTCACAGCTGGGGCTTTGTATCGCATGCAGCTGCATGCAGCTGCATGCAGCTGCATGCAGCTGCAGCGGAGCTACAAAAGGAAGAAACGGAGAGAAAAGAATGGGGCTGGCACCCTCTATAAGGACTGCATGCACTCCTGTGTTGCATGCAGCCACCTCAGCTGTGCATGCGAGAGCTCCCTGTACACCACAGCTGTGCTCTAAGCGTTTCTATTCTCCTACAGGCCGTAGCTAGCTGTAGCTAGCTGTAGCTAGCTGTAGCTAGCTGTAGCTAGCTCTAGCTAGCTGGAGCTAGCTGTAGCTAGCTAGGGTTTCTTTAGTGTCGCTAGCTGTGTTGAGCGCTGCAGGGTGAGCGTTGCAGCAGTGCTATATCTCTCGGAGAGACAAACCGAAGCACATTGGTGCTGCTACTGCTGCTGCTGCTGCTACTGCTGCTGCTGCTGCTACTGCTGCTGCTGCTGCTACTGCTGAGCTGCTGCTACTGCTGCAGCTGCTGCTGCAGCTGTAACACTGAGCAACTGCTGGGCTACGGCTTCTGTATGCATGCATGCATGCATGCATGCATGCATGCATGCATGCATGCATGCAAGCATATAATATGTTTGTGTGTGTTTGTGTGTTCTGTATTATTTAATTAAATGCGTTGGCGTTGGAATGACAAAAAAATGATTGAGCAGCAGAAGAGAGAAGAAACAGAGAAAAGAGAAGC